GGCAGAGCTGGGGGGGAGGGAGGAGGGGCTGGGCTGGCAGGGGGCTACAGGTCGGGAGTGAGGGGCACCGGCAGGGCTGGGGGTGGGGGGAAGCTGGTCTGGCACGGGGCTACAGGTCAGGAGTGAGGGGCACGGCAGGGCTGGGGGCGCTGTGCTGGCAAGGGGCTGCGGTTCGGGAGTGAGTGGCTGTGCTGGCAGGGGGCTGCAGTTCAGGAGTGAGGGACACTGGCAGAGCTGGGGGGAGAAGCCCAGGCTGGGCTAGCAGGGGGCAGCGCGTCAGGAGCAGGGGGCACCGGCAGAGCTGCGCCCCCACCCCAGCGCAGAAAGCAGCAGGCCGCGGCCGCTCGTGGTCACTGACACAGACGTTTAATGGAGAAGCACAGAGACGCAGCCGGCCCGTCGCTTGGTACATTCCACGCCGGGGCACCGGGCGGGACCGACGGACGACAGCAGCTCGCAGGCCACGAGGCTCACGGACAGACGGACACGCCCGCGTCCCCGGGTCAGTCCGGCGGGGTGGGGGGGCTCAGTGCTGCATGGCTGCAGCGTGGTCCTGGCCCGGCGGCTCGGCCTTGCGGGGGCTGCCCCTGCCCCCCCCGGAGCCGCCGCCCCCTCGGCCCCCGTGCTCCCCCTTCCTGTGGCCCCGGATGCAGTGGGCGTTGCCGCAGCCCTCGTCCTCCTCGTCCTCGCTCTCCGTGGAGCTCTCGCCGAAGGCCCGCGGCTTCTCGTAGATGCAGCAGCCTGGGCGGGGCGGTTACATGGAGATGGGGGGACGATAGGGGGAGGGGAAGTTAGAGGGGATGGGGGGGCCACAGTGGAGGAATAAGGGGGTGGGGGAGCGAGGGGCGTGATGCCGGGGCAGGAGGGGGAGGGTGGAGAGAGACAGAGGGAGTCAGAAGCCCCCCAGCTGTCAGCCTGCACCCAGCCCTGTGGCCTGGCCGAGGGGGGACCCGGGGGGGGGGGGGAGAGGGAGAGACACCTCCCAGAGCTGGGGGTCCTTCACCGATCTCTCCCGCGCACCGCCGTTAAGCCCCAAGTGGCCATGTCCCTCTGCAAAACAGCTGAGCCCAGCGAGTCGCTGGCTCCGTGCCTGCCTCAGGGAGGGGAAGTCATCACCCCGTCTGCTGACGGAGTAAGTCTGGGCGGGGGGGGGGGAGGGGGGGGAGGGATCAGCCAGAATGGGGCACCGGGCCTTTCTCTTCCCATTGGGCCCCAGGGCGGGGGACTGGCTGGCTCGGGGGCGGGGTGAGGAGTGGGACACGGGGCCTTTCCCATCCAGGGGGCGCTGGCTCCAATCCAGCCCCAGGACAGGGGATTGGCTGGCTCGGGGGCGGGGTGAGGAGTGGGACACGGGGCCTTTCCCCTCCAGGGGGTGCTGGTTCCGATCCGGCCCCAGGGCAGGGGATTGGCTGGCTCGGGGGCGGGGTGAGGCATGGGACACGGGGCCTTTCCCCTCCACGGGGTGCTGGTTCCGATCCGGCCCCAGGGCAGGGGACTGGCTGGCGCAGGGGGTGGGATCCAGCAGCACTGCTGAGGTGAAGAGGTTTGTGTTGAGCATGTGGAAGCAGGAAGGGGAGGGATGGAGAACCCAGGAGTCCTGACTCCCAGCCTCCCCCTCTCTAACCACTAGCCCCCACTGCCTTCCCCATTCGAAGTGATGTGGCTAAAGGCCCTGTACCCGGATGCGGGGAGTCTCGGAAGGGGGGAGCCGTGGTTACTCACATTTGGACGACCTACGGCCCAAGTGCTCGTTGTCCACCGTGTCGCTCGACCATTCCACCTTCTTATCCGGCTTTCGCTTCCTCAGCTTGATGGTCAGGCTGCGGTTCTCCTACCAGGGGGACAGGGTGCGGGGTGGAGAGAGAGCGGGGGGATCAGACCATGGCCGGTCACAGATGACCCACGGAGAAAGACCTTGGCTGGATTAGTAGGGAGAGACCTGAGACGGCAGGGGGCGCCATGCTGCAGGGAGTGGGGCAGGGGGCTCAGTAGGGGGCACTCTGCCCTGGCAGGCAGGGCAGGCCCCAGGGCAGCACTAGGGGGCACTGTGCTGCAGGGAGTGGGGCGGGGGGCTCAGTAGGGGGTGCTCTACCCTGGCAGGCAGGGCAGCACTAGGGGGTGCCGAGTTGCAAGGAGCAGGACAGGGGCCCATTAGGGGGCACTCTTCTATGACAGTGAGGCAAACCCTCTCACAAGGCCCCCAGGAGTCCGACTGTTGCCCGGCTCCACGGCGTGTCCCTTCCACCACCGCCTTCGGAACCATGCCGGACTTCCTGGGGAACACACCCTGCGGTTGCCGGGGCTCCCACGCCCTGCTGTTTCCATGGCTACTGTGCCCTGTTCCGGCTGTGGCGGTCACCAGGGTTACCACATTCCGTGGCTGCCAGGGTTCCCTGTGTCCCTCGCCCTGTGCTAACTGATGTGCACCACAAGAGCCACGCCCTGCTGCCGCTGCCATAGCTACAACAGACAATCATCACCGTGACGGCCACCATGAGCGTCGCCATGGGTACCACGCCCCATTCCTACTGGGATAGTTGCCCCACTCCCACTTCCTGCAGTTGCCATAACGATTGCCGTGTCACCGTGGGCACCACGCCCTCCTGTCACTGGGATGGTTGCCATGGCAACCGCCGCCCCCCATTTCACAGCAACGGTTGCTGTGACTCCCACAGGCTGCGGTTACCGTGGCTTCCCTGGCATCACGGTCGCTGTGACAACCAATGCCGTGGCGCCCACGATGGGTACAGGGCTCACGGAAGCGCGCAACGGGGGCACATGCAGGTGGGGCCAGGGGGCCTCTGAATGAATTTCTTAAACTAACGCTCCCCACTGCTAGTTAATACTCGGCATCTAAAAGAGAACCGGGGCTGTTTAATCAAAACCGGATTTGATTTTAATGGTGAAAATCCAAGCCACCCGAAAATGAGTGGTTTCCCCTCAAATCCTCATTTCCCCCCCACAATCCCCCTCCCCCCATGATCCCACAGACTTGCAAAGTCTCCAAGCCCAAATCCCCAAGATTTTATATTAATTATCCCCATGTTCCTGTGATTTTATATTTAACCCCCCCAAACAAACAAAATACAAAAAAACCCCACCCCACATCCCTCTGATTCTACATTTAAAAAACCCCTCAAATTAAAAACCCAATTTCCCATGATTTTAACCCCACAAAATAAGCCTCCATATCTATGTGATTTTATATTAAATCCCCAAAACTAAAAAAAAAAAAGCCACTAATCCCCATGATTTCATACTAAGCACCCCCAGATTTAAATAAAACTTACATATCCCGGTGATTGTGTGTTAACCCCCCTCCCCCAATTTATAAAACCTCTAAAGCCCGGTGATTTTCTATTAGCCCCACACATTTTTAATCTCTCAAATTCCTGTGATTTTACAATCACCCCCATCCCCCAAATTATAACTGACCGACAGGCAACTCCCGCTTTTCAGACCTGCAGGATTTTATTTTATTTTTTGTTTTAAAACCCAATTCCTGCGGTTTTGAATGTTATTCCCCCCGCCCCCGTTTACAAAACCCACAAACCCTGAGTTTATGTTAAACGCATCAAAAATATTTATAAACCCCCCAAATACTTGGGATTATGTATTAAATCCTCCTCAAAATGTACAACCCCCCAAATCCCTGAAATTTTATATTAACCCCTAAAATTACAAAAACAAACAAACATAAAATCCCTGGATTTGGGGGGTGTTTTTTTAAAACCCAAATTTACAAAAAACCCAAATCCCTGAGATTTGATATTTAGCCTCCTACAATGGTATAAACCGGCCCAAAGCCCCCAGGATTTTAAATTAACCCCCCAAATCTATACACCCCCCACATTCCTGGGATTTTACATTCCTCCCCCACGATTTTTTTTATAACCTGCCCCAAATCCCTGGGATTTTATATTAACTTCTGCAAAATTTACAACCCCAAATCCTTGGATTTTACATTAACCCCCCCAAAAATATCCCCCCCATCCGGGGATTTTATCTCGACACCCCCCGGGCCCCGATCCCCGGCCCCGTTCACCGGCTCAATGGTGACGGTCTCGGTCACGGTGGCGCTGGCTGCCCTCCCACCGGCCGTCGCTGTCGCAGTCGCCGTCGCTTCCGCCATGGCGCTGCCCGGCCCCGACCCTCCGCGGCCCCGGTTGCCGGGGGGAAGAGTCTGCGCCGCGCACCGCCCCTGCCTCGCTCCCCCTGCGGCTGCCCCGGCTCTCCCAGCAGCCCGCGGCGAGCGACCGCCCGGCTCCCACCACCGGCCGCACGCCACTTCCGGTCACCAGCCCACTACTTCCCGTTTCCGGGTGGGAGTACCGGAACACAGTCCCCCACCCCCCGCTCCTCTGGCTCTGGAAGGGAGGGAATTCTCGGCGCGGCACTTCCGCCGTACGGGGGCGCGGCGCGCATGCGCGGCCAGAAAAAGGGGGGCGGGAGAGAATTCTAGTCCGAGTCACGTCCAAGGCAGGGAGGGGCTGGTGGGATGCCCCCCCGGGGCGGCAGCCTGAGCTGTCACGTGATGGGTCTCACGGCGGGGGGCGGCATACTCTGAGGGTTATTAAGGGGAAGTCAGTAGGACCATGGGGGGCATGTGGGGGCTACAGGGGAAGGAGGGTGCAGTGGGGGGGCTCAGTAGGACTATGGGGGTGCAGTGGGACTATGGGGGTACAGGGGAAGGGGGGTACAGTGGAGGCTCAGTGGGACTATGGGGGTACAGGGGAAGGGGGTGCAGTGGAGGCTCAGTGGGACTATGGGGGTACAGGGGAAGGGGGGTGCAGTGGGGGCTCAGTGGGACTATGGGGGTACAGGGGAAGGGGGATGTAGTGGGGGGCTCAGTGGGTCTGTGTGGTATAGTGGAAGGGAAACACTGCTGGGGTCAGTGGCACTATGGGGGCACAGATGGAGGGCACAGGGGAAGTGGGGGGCTCAGTGGGACCATCAGGTGCACATGGGGAGAAGAGGGATACCGGGGGGGTCAGTGGGTCTGTGGGCCCAATGGGGGAACCAGTGCTGAGTGGGGGAACATATGGGGAAAGGGGGGGCTCAGTGGGGGGTAAAGACTGAGAAGGGCACAGGAGGAAGGGGTTTGCAGTTAGAGTGGGGAGGCCATGGTGGATCACAAAGGGGAGGGGGCTCAATGGAGCAAGGCCTCTGTGGGGGCATGTGGGGAAAGGGGGGCTTAGTGGGGGGAATCAAGCCTGAGGGGGGCTAGGGCATACAGCTGGGGGGGCAGGAACTGAGTGGAGTGGCCATAGGGGAAGCTAGGGAGGAAAGAGGCACAGTGGGGAGAGCAAAAAGGGTGGGGCTCAATAGGGGTTGTGAGGGGACAATGACTGAGGGGCATAGGGGGAAGCGTAAATACAGTTGGGGGCAGGGCTTGAGAGGCCCTGGGGGTCTCAGTGGGGCAGCCATGGGCAGGGCCAGGCTCTGCCAGCTTCAGCACTAGAGCCAGTAGCAGGTCAGGGGCTGGCAGGAAGGTGCAGTCAGTGTTTTAACAGGGAACTCAGGACACCTGGGTTCAATTCATGCCTCTGCCCCTGACTCCATGTGGGACCTTAGGCAAGTCCTTTCACTTCCCTGTGCCTGTTCCCCCTCCCACCAATTGGCTGTGATTTGGGGCAGGGACTGTCTCTCACTGTGTGTCTGTGCAGCACCTGGCACTAGGGGGCCCCCATATCTGTGATTCTAGACCCAGGAGGAGAGTGAGAGACGCCTGGTTCATGTACAAAATAAGATTTTATTTACTTCTCCTCGGAGGATGGGGTTGTAGACTTGCCCAGAAATATGCACCCAGGACTCCCCAGCTGGTCTGTCCTCCACAGCCCACGATCCTGAAAGAGGGGAGCAAACCCTCCATGTCGCCCCCCACAAAGCACAATACACCAACAGGCTCTCCCCAGAGAACGCAGCAGCTGGGGTCCAGCGTGGGAACTGCCAGAGCAGCCTTAAATAGTCTTGAGCTCTCCACAAATGGCTCTACACCCCCTGGGGCTGAGGACTTGAGGTTCCCCTAGGAGATGGGAAAGGGGGATGTGGTATCCCCCATGGTTACACCCTTTGGAGTCACCTCTGCAGGGCCAGAGTTGTGTTCACGCCCCTCCTTTGCTTCACTGGGCTGCAGGCACCAGTGGCGGTGAACGCTGGGTGGTGGTGGCTGTCAGCCCATAGGTCGACCTGGGCCTGAGCCAAGAAAACAATCTCGTTAGGAGGTGAGGCAAGTTATTCTGGGTAAAGGAGGGGTAGGTGTTACATCTAGTCTCTTGTCCATGGCCCTCTGCCCCTGTGCTGCTCCATTCACGAGTCTTCCTTCTCCTGGAACCTGCGCACAACAAAAGCCAAGCGTCAATCCTTTGCAGAAGCTTTTCCTTTTGTATTTCTTTTCTGATCTGTGGAACTCACTGCTGCAGGATGCTGCTAAAGTCACAGGGAGACCAGAGACACTGCTGTGAGAAAGCTTCCCTCCCCTCCAGTATCCCTAATCCCTCTGGGGATGGAGATCCCTCATAAGCTGCTCTTTGGGGGTGACCGGGGGTTCCATTTAAGAGGAGAAAGAGGATGCCAGCCCCACCCCGACCCACTTTACTCCTTTTCTCCACTTAGGTTGATGAGTTACGTCACACTACAGGCAGGGCATGTGGCTAAGAAGGGCAACTCCACGAAGGAAGCCAGGAGAGACTCAAATGAGGGCAGCAGGACTACACAAACTGCCCCACACTGGAAAATTAGATCTACTCAGCTATGTCACCCAGAGGTGTGTAAAATACCCTCCCTCTCCCCCGAGCAGAACAGTTAAGCTGACTTAAGTCCCAGTGTAGACAGCGCTTGGCTGATGGATGAATTCTTCCGTTCAACTAGCTACCGCCTCTTGGGGAGGTGATTTCCTGCGCCGATGGGAGAACCCCTCCTGCAGCGTAGGCAGTGTCTACACTACATATTTCAAGTGTAGACAAGTCCAAAGACTCTCCCAAGCTCCCAACGACGGAAAGGCTGCAGGGAGCAGCAGCCACCTAGGAAGGACGAAGGTGAAGGATGTGTCTGCCAGAGGGAAGCCTTAGCCGGGACAGGGCGAAGAACCCTGCACAGAGTTGGAATTTAGCTGGGCAGGGCTGTGTGGGGCAGTTCTTGCATTTCCCTGTGTACTTCGTGAATAAATCCAGACCACACAAGAAGCCTCCATCCAAGTTCTTAGGCCACTTTGGTTTCTAATTGGTAAATCTTAGGTTGCCACGTACACACCCAATCTGACGTTAGCCAACGCACAGATGTTAGGTTAGCGTGCACCACATTATACCAAGGCCTGGCTTAGCGTGAGTGAACAGCACTCTGGGAAAAATCTAAGCTACATCCCACAATACCCTGCAGTAATACCACCCAGATAGGAAAATCAAGATACATGCCTTGTGTGTCTTAGTGCAAGCCAGGGAGGCCCCTTCACAGGCCGGTACCTGGAATGCCAGTATCCACAACAAAGATAAGGAAAGGTACAGAACAAAAGGAACTGGGACAAACGGGTGGGTTGGATTTTACTGAAGAGTTTTGTAACGTATCGAATCATCCTATAAATATGACTAGCTGAAATGCTTGGGAGCACATTGTGTACACCTTGTACAGCAAGAAAGCACAGTTAACGATTTTTTTTCTGGGCATTTCCTTTGGGGTTTTTTGGGGGGGGAGGGAGAGGGTTGGGCTAACCGTGATGTCTCATTTTAAGGGAACAACCTGGATTGATTTAGCTGATGAGGAAATACAGCGAGATCTAGGTGACCTGGGGACAGGTCTCCTCCCCTGCGGGCAATAACTCTCCAGTCTTTCCCCTCGCACGAGAGCAGTAGGGAAGGGACAGCGCCTTACTTGCACTGGCCACAGGTGTAGAAGACAGTCTGTCCTTCATCCGCTGATCTCATCTGCCGGGTGTGGTAGACCATGCCCTCGTGACCACACTGGGGGCACTTCCTGTCAATCTGAAAGGATCACCAAGGCCAAGTCAAATCCATGGAATGAAGATTCCCTCCCACCCCTCCCAAAAAAATCCTCCACTGGAATAAAAGGGAAATAAGTCAAGGTCAGGTGCTAATGTACTGGTGGGACTTCCTGCTGCAGGATGTTAGGAGACTATTGATGTGTGTTTTCCTTCCCTCCTGTCCACAGAAATCCCCACTCACCATGGGTCCCTTGACCTCCTGCCCATCATCCATGATCATCAGAGCCACGGAGCCCAGCCGGTTGAACTCGACACAGGACTGGACCACCTTCCCTTCGAAATCTATGCAGGGAGAGGAAGAGAGTTATTGAGCGATGTGTGTGTCAGAGAGAGGAACTAATGCACTTTAGAGACTTGCCTCTCAGAGGGCCAGCACTCGACCTCACTCCCTTCCCAGAGCTGGGGATAGAACCCAGGAGTCCTGACTTCTAACCTGCCCTACTCTAACACACTGTCCCTCCCCGAGGGATTTCACTAGTGGACAGAGGGGAATTCAGTTCCCCTAGATAAATGCCAGTACGTGTGTGGGGGGTGATGCTGCCGCCCTCACCTCGTACATCGATGGAGAAGGAGCAGCGCACGCACGTCACCTTGTCCTGGACGCCTGGCAGAGGCAGGATGGTCCCACACTCTGGGCAGAAATCCAGGTCCGACTGGAAGCAGGAGTTGCCCAGCTCCATGGCTGCCTGCGAGAAAAGCCACTGGATTAGCTGGGCGGCCAGCGGCACCCTGACCAGCGCTGCTCTGAGCTACTGCAGGTCCCAGCCGGGCCCTCCCGCACCGGGACAGGTGGGGGGAGGAGTGGGGCCTTTGCACGAGAGGCCAAATCAGGGGATGTTTATCTGCATCAGTTTACACCCCCCCAGCACCCATGAAAACTCCCACCCCTCCCAGGTGCCCCTAGTGCCTCCCATAACCACACCCACAACCCTCCCTCCACCCATCCCCCTCTCACCCCCACCCGCCCCCGCCCCCTTACCCCAACCCTCCGCCACCCAG